AATGTGGAGCATGCTTGGATAAAGAGATGGAGCATGCTTGGATAAAGAGATGCTGCTGTCTTGGACAGCACAGCAGCCTCAAAGGCATGAGACAAAGACTCTGCCTCCCAAAAGGGTGCTTAAGGACCCAAACCCAGCACTGCCATTTCAGGAAGCTGAAAAACTCCTGGGCCCAATGAGCGAGGCCAGGTGAGCAGCCAGCATGGGGGACCTTCCTGGCTGCGGTAGTCTGCATCACAAAACCCCAGCAGTCCCAGCAGAGAGATCAAGGTCTGAATGGGCCTTGGGGGCTGAAGCCCCCTTTTACTTCTACAGGTCAGCGGTGAGGGGAAATTGTGGGACAGCTTGGGGAATTCCAACCTTGACAGAGGAGTCAGTGCTGGAGTCTGATAACTGGTGCTGATAACTGTGCTAATTACTTCCTGAAGTAAAAGTTTCATTAGGAACAACAACTGAACTACCAATATTCTCCCTGCCCCCCCGCCCCCAACCCAGGGATTTGCAACACAGAAACCTGCAAACCTCACTGGCCATTCATGTGTAATCACTTCCAGCTCCCCTCAGCTGCCCTGGTCCCCGAGCTACAAGGTGCCTTGATCAGCTTGGGCAAGTCTGCCCGGGAACAGCCGAGCGAGTGCATCTGTTATCCTTCAACAAACTGAGGAAAGGAGTAATTGCATTTTCAAGAATCCAGACATACTTCTTTCTCCTTGGAAAGGGCCTTTTCCCCCAGGATCCAGGCCCTTAGTTTCTGTCAAATCTCTGTCAGACCATCTTTCCTCCCTTCAACAAAAGACATCTCTTCATACCTCAAATGCCAGATCTCCTCAAGTCCCTGCCCCTTGTCCCCACTTCCAGCAAGTGGTTCACAAAGAGACGGTGAAAGCCATGAAAACTCCCATCTTTTTCAAGGAATCCTCACCCCCGACTTTGAGAATTTGGGAATTCTGAACGATGTTTTGTCCTGATACTTCCCGGCAGAAATGTTTTAAAAAACCCTGTAAACGAACCTTTTGCTTTTCCAGCACAAGTCACTTGCATCATTCTAGACATATTCAGCAGGAAACAAAACACACAACAAACTTTCATCACATTCAGCAGATTCCTGACAGGGTATTTCTGCAGGATGCAGGAAAGACAAAAGATAACAGATGCTGCAGGAGAAATATTGGAGCTCAGAGCTGTAGACCTGAAAAGCGCACAAGCACTGGCACGTTCCATGGCCAGGGCTAGAAGTACATCAGTGCTGTGGGGATGTGAGTGTTGACGGGTTAATATCTAATTTATTTGCAGCCAGTGCTTCCTTCCTAGAAACCAGTTCCTGTCACAAAAATTTAACCCTGGAAAGAGCCTAAAGTTTTAAAGAGAAAAAAAAAAAGGAAACTTAACGGAAAATCTACACGACGAAATGTCCTGCTATTCTTAACTTGCTCCTATTTGTAATAATCCCAAGAATCTTTCACCAAAACATGGAACCACCAGGGACAGAAAGGACTTTTCTTGCTACTGTTTAGTTGGTCTAATAAAAGATATCGCCTCTGACCCAAGAGCTTTTGTGTATACTTAACTCTAGACAGGTGAAATTAAATCTGCTCGTCTTTCAGGAATCATAGGGTCTCACGCTGTAATCTACTTGATAGACCACATCAGGAAGAGACCAGAAAGCTCCTTATAGTCCCAGCTCTGTCTCTAGCCCTCTGTGTGACTTGGGGCAAGTCATACCCCACGCTGTGCATTGGTTTCCTGCTCTGTGAATGGGACTTTGGTATTGACCTGCCTACCTGAAGTGAATTTATGATCTCTTTATACCGTGCAATTGGAAAGCATTTCTTGCCAGAACGAGCATAAGGGCAGAATCATTTGAAACTGCCTTGCTCTGTGTGAGTTCAGGCCCATATTCAGTAGCTGGAAGCTGAATGTCACTGGAAGCATTTCTGGGCTGATTCAGCTCCCAAGCCAAGCCACAGTGGGTGCAAAACCTTCATGGACTGAAGCACAAGGGAGGAGAAAAAGTGGGGGTTGTAGGAATCATTGCAAAATGAAGCCTCCCAGATTTCTGCAGCTGTTAAGCTGCATATATCTTCCTAAAGCTGAATTCAGAGTTAGGCCTCAGATGAGAGGAAAAGCTGCAAGAGCCATGTCTCACTTCCAGGAGGATGGTGGAGTTACAATTAAAAGAGTCTTATTGAGAGGTATTCCTGGCCTCAGCCTTGATGAGCAGTTAGTATGTGTGGAGGGTGTGGGGGGCAGGTGCCTTCAGCTGATCTTGATGAGGCTTCCTGCCAGGACGCTAAGTCTAAGATTTGGGGTGTGGGAGGGAAGATGATCATTGTTACAGGCTGTTGCAGACGGCAGGAAATCTTCTTGTCTTGCTCCTTGATTTGCTTCCTTTTCATGTGTGTTCTTTCCATCATGCCATTCATATTGTCCCAGTTTCCCTAGGGTTGTTACACATCTTGCGGTTATATTTAGGCTCACTCTACCAGCACTGGTTTCAGTCAGTATAAGTACAAAGCATTCTGTCAAAGTCATCAGTGTTATGCACGGTAGTATCATTATCACAGTACAGAAAGGGCATGTGCTGTCAACTTTATTATTCAACAAAGTCAATTTCTCCTCCTCCTAAGGAAAGATGTTAAGCATTTCCCTTCTACATCACTCTTGGGTCTGCAGTCCATTGGAGTCTACTTTAGACCTTGAATCATGCCAATGGAAAACATTTAAGTCATTTATATTAGGTCTGGACCCGATCTCAGTCGCTAATGAGCACGGCTACTTCCAAAACCTACCAGCAGTTGGTATACAGTTGTATGACAGCTGCTAATTTAGCCAAGACACTAAGGACTGAACCATGGACCTTCACAATGTGACACTCCAAGCGGCAGTAGACAGACACAAGAACTTGGCCACCTTGGGTGCTGATGTATCAGACCCAGATCCTCTGTGGATCAAGCGTAGCAAGAGACCCGTGCTACCACCCTTATTAGTGGGCTACAGTGATCCACACCAGCCCAGAAGGAAAGGGTCCCTGGATTATCTGGAGACCCGATACAGGTGGGATTTCTGCATTACAGCAGATTCCCCTGTGGATCTCAGAGCACTTTGCAAACACTCAGTGTTAGGAACTGTCCTTTGACAACATGAGGCACAAAATTGAAAGGACCTGCATCCCAAGGATTTTACCGTCTCAGAGACGAGCCCAGACAAGACAGGGCACAATGGGAGATATACTCTGTCTCCCCTCCTGTATAATGTTCATGGGGAGTTGGGGCGTTGAGGGGGAGAGGCGACAGCAGAAAGGAGCTTTTAGGAAGAGAAGAGGGCAAGGCCTGACACTGTGAGACTTGGAAGCTGATCCCGCACATGGGACAGAATGACAGCAGATTGATCAAGCGTCCGCTATACAATTAAAGCACAAAGCCTCCTCTCGCTGGTGTAAGTCAGGAGTAAGCGTATGGAAGTCAAAGCCATCCCACTGCTTTAAAATTGTGGTGAACGGGATCAGAAGCAGGGCCCCTGATGAAGCGTGCTTAGAAAACAGAGGGAAGAATGTGCAAGATAAACTGCTCTGTGCTGTACACAGCTGGGAGACCCAGGAGACACAGGATTCATTCCTGTGTCCTTATCTAGCTCGTCATTCATAAACACGCTACCACCAAGAAGCCTCTGGCAAAAGCAGCGTCCTAAACAATCAAGTTAGATGTGAGGCTACTTGGTCTAATCAAAGGCACCATTTCTGAACCGAGAGTTGTGCACGCAATATATAGGAAGTCACCCCTTTGTATCCTAGACTGGGCACATTACTGCGCACATCGCACAAAACTCCTGGTGGAGGCAGCAGGAGCGATTTTGAGAAACGGCTCCGTCAAGCCACCTCGCCCTCGGCGCTCATCTCTAATGACACGGTGACACACCACAGGTCTCCCAAGCCGCTGCTGCTACCCCACCCCAGGCATGTGTCTCGGCTCCCTGACTTCTCTCGGGCAAAGCACCCCGGGGTGGCCAAAAGCCCTCGCAGGAGCAGTGGCACGAGAACCGCGAGGGCTGCCGGGGCCGGGGATGCTCTGCCCGGGGCTCCTCCGCACCCACCTGCGCCCCTGCCCGGGGCAGCTCCCCCTGGCCCGCCCGCCCCCGGGCACACCGACTTGGGAA